GGTACGCAGGCCACTCCTGGACTACAGGCGCTACCTTGGCCAGTCCATAGCTCGGCGCCGTAGCTGTCAGGTCGCGCCCTTGAACTGGCATCGCCTTCGGGCCTCAACTCCAAGGCTGGCGTCCTGGGAAAGCGCGCCCTCCAAGCATGCGGCGCATTCAGCGTGGCCTGGCATCCAGGTATCCACCAGCGAGGGGCGCCACATTCGCGCGCCCCTTGGGCTTGGGCCCACGGGGGCCTCCCGCGCCGCTGCCGGGGAACGCCGCACTATGCGCCCAGTCTGCTCAGTGGCGAGCGGCGCAAGGAGGGGCCAACGCGGTCGCGACCAATTACGACGGCACAAACGCTTTCGCAGCAACCAATCGCGCGCTTCTGCGCGCAGTGGCCTTCCAGGACGCACAGGAGCGAAGACGGCGATTCGCCTCGGCGGCGATCGACCGCTCCGCCGCGAGTCTGGACGCGGCCGACGGGGCCGCCGAGGTTGAAAGCACAACGGGCGCCCAAACTGGCCCCGCCGTGCGCCCGCGGCAATTCAACGACGCGCGCAACCTATGCGTCTCCAAGTGGTGCGGCCATCACAGAACGCCCATCCACAACGATCGCGGCAGAGCTATGGGGGCTGAATCACGGCATAACCAATCACCTCCTCTACCTCTTCGGTCAGGGCTGCTTTAGGAAACCTAAGGCACTGCGGCGTAGCCAGGGCCTCCACGGATTATCCTTGCGCGAAATGCGGGCGCTGGGGCTTTACCGACCAGCAGGCCAAGGTATCGCGGGGGAGATCGCTAGGCGCATTGCTGCAGCCAGGGTAGCATTGGGGGCAGTGCGGCATCTTTTGGACGCCTAAGGTCCCGCGTCAGATTGAACGCATCATGGACATGGCCTTTGTAGTCGGCGCGGCGCTTGGCGGTTGAACAGCTTGCGTCCTCGCCGAGACCTGCACTCAGGCGATCGACGGTGTCTTAGGGAACTACAAACGTACACTAGCGGGGGGATCCAATGCAGGGCAGACGGGCCAATGCGATGCAACAACTTGTGACAGGTGTTTAAGTGCTGGAGACCTAGAGCACGGCAGTGTCACAGATGGTGCGCAGGTTGCGGTGATATCAGAATTGGTCCCGCCACCCGTTGGAACGCGAGGCAGTCATAGCGGTGGTCTTCTGCACATCCAGATTGGACGCCTCCCGGGGCGTCTGCCCCCTTGCCGGTCAGGACTTTGTGGGCCCTACCTGGGCCCCGTGGGCTCAGCAGTTCTCGGCGGATATGCAGGCGCGCGCGAATGTGGGCGACAGTATGTGATGGCACGCGCATTGGGACTCCGACCTAGCGACATTCGAACAATGTATCCCCGAACAGAAACAGTGGCTTCAGACAGACCCATCAGCACTGCACAGCTACGAGCGCAATTTGAACATTCTCACGACGCGTGACGACACAGCACCGGGGCAGGAGGGACAGGAGGAGGAATTGCTTAACCACCGCTGGTGCGACTACATGACAACGGGCGACGGCGGCGCGGAACATACGCGCGCACAGCGCTTCCCTACCTCCGCAGCGTTAGCTGGGCATCGCCGAGACTCCCACAACATGAGACCAGTGGTGGCGTCCATAATCGTCGACAAACAACGCCAGTTTAGAAGTACACTCGCGAACAGAATGGTTTGCGTCGACCACGCGACGCGCGCGGCACACGGACACGCGCGGGGCATGCCGCCAAGATAGATCGATCTGGGCACGCCCGATCTCCGGGCCGGGTGCACTCACTTGCCTTGTCTGTACCCATGAGGCTTAAATTCTCGAGGTCTACCGCGCTCGCATTCGCGAACGCATTGCAGGGCCCGAGCATATCAGCCCAGCGCGCGGAGAAGGAGCTCACGTTGGTCGGGGGAAGCGGCCAGGACTGGAGGATCAGGGCATCGGCCAAGCGCCCGCAGCAGACGGCAGCAGAGGGCCAGCCCCCCCCGCAGCACGCCCACGTGGGCACGGGCACGCGGGCGCAGCCACCCACCCAGCGCCGCGGAGGTGGTGGAGGTCGCGCACCCCCGGGAGGAGGCCCTGGTGGTGGCGGAGGCGCGCAGGTGGAGATGAGGGACCAGCTGAGGGCGCTGCAGAGGATCACCTTGCAGAACGCCGCCGGGATTTACAACTTCCCGCGCTTCGCGGGCGAGTTCTGGTTGGCGCTGCTGGAGCCAGACTGGGTCCAGGCGCCAATGGCTACAGGCAAAGAAGGCGGAGGGAGGGTGAGAGAGCTGGGCAAGGGCCGCGGCCTCGGCCCTCCTCGCGGCCAAGTGGCGGCGTCGCTCGCGGAGGAGATAGCGCAGATACTCGACTCCAAGAGCGACCTCGACGGGCCGATGCAGATCGCCAAGCAGGCGCTGAAAGAGCTCGTGGCGCAGACTGGCCAGGCGTGGGATCCCATGTCCATCGCGGAGGTCTTCCTGCAGCGCAAGGTCCTAGAGGCGCGCGACAAGCACAACGACGAGGACGTGAAGATGGGCACCAAGCAGTGCACGGCGTAGCGCACCCACGTGATCAACGCCTCGCCGAGCTTCCGCGCAGCGCTGTACGGCCAGAAGCTCGACCAGACGCAGTGCGACGCGATCGTGGGCTTCAAGGGGAACATGCTCAAGCAGGCGCTGGGCCATGCGCTGGCTCACCTCGGGGCCGTGAAGAGTCGCTCGGGAGGCCCGGAGACGGGCTTGGAGAGGGCGGCGGAGGCGCATTTCAACAGGCGCGGGGCGTTGAGCAGCCTCGCCCCTTGCCCGGCAGCTCGCCCCGCTCAGAGCACGAGAGCCCCGCGGGCCACTCACAGCTGGCTGCGCCAACCCGAGGCGCGGCCAGTCCAGGCGCCTCCAGCGGCGCCTCGTCGGCCTCTCGCCTTAGCGACGCGGGCCGCCCGCGCGCGCGGCCACCTTCTGCGCCGCCCGTAATTCGAGTGGAAACATCGCACAGCAGATCAGCACGGACCTCGTTCGAATGTCCAGTCTTCGCGAGCAGGCAGACAGACGCGGAGGGCATATGGCTTTTTGTTATCGTTTGGTTAACTATTACCGAGACTTGCGACCGAGGGATTACTGCCGACCAGCGGCAAAACAGTAGGGGTGGTTGGCTGGCACTTCTTACCCTCGGCCGCCACCTTGCTCACTCGCGGATCGCCGCCACCTACTGCCCCATCCCACCACCGCCCACGCTACTCTTCCCCTCCTTAGGTTTAGGCGCAGGACGCCTCCCACGTGCAGCCGCGCTCCATGTTGACGGACTGGGGCGCGCGCCGACCTGGCCATAGAAGGTATCTCAGCTGCGCTGACTTGATTTCTCCGACAGGCTCCAGCGTCGTCCGACAGGTCACCAGGGTCCCCAGCACTTGCCTCCAGAGTGGAAACATATCGACTAGAAGAAACAAAACCAGCTACGCTGTCACGAAACAAGCGCACATTGTGCCCGAACTTACGCCTACATCCAGGGCGCGGAATGCGAGCGTGGCCCCACCTACCTCGCTTACGCCTACTTCCACCTCCAGTTCTAACTACTAAGGTCCCTCCTTCACTCCAGCCACCTTCGAGAAACTAAGGGCACTACGACTAGAGATATGATGAACAACGGGGCGGGCATGAGAGACAGACTCAGGTAAACCAAGGCGAAACCACCCATTACGGCCCCGATCTCCGTAGCCGTTTTCTCTTTTCAGTGTTTCTCGCGCCGGGACAGCCAGCCCATCTCAGAGCTCAGGTGGGTAATGGAGGCACTTCAACCGGGAGGGCCAACGGCTTGGGCAGCGGCAGCGGCGCAGGAGGCAGCAGCAGAGGCACCGGCGCAGGCGCCGCGTCCAGCAGCAGCCGCAGACCAGCCGGAGCCGCCTCCAACCGTGATCCAGAAGGCGCACGACCGCGGAGGCCACGGAGCACTCGACCAGGTCTTCGGCTCGATGGCCTACCGCTTGGAGATTGGCCGCCGCAGCCAGCCGACGGGCGAGGCTTTCGAAAGGATCGCGAAGAGCAGCAAGACCGCCCTCTACACCATGCACAGGCAGCGCGAGAGGCTCACGACGACGCTCGGCGGGCTCAACAGTGTCAAGTCTTCGAACCCGCACGAGGAGACGGAGCGCAGCCAGGTCGAGGTCGGCATCAAGGAGTAGCTGATGGACGCCCATCAGGCGATCGTGGTAGCGAGGAGCCTCCACGGCGCGACCAGCGACCGCCGCGGGAGGATCATGCAAGGCCCGATGCCGTGGGAGCTACACTACACGAGGCGCCAGGGCGACGAGCTCGAGGGCGCGTGCGCCCGCTGGTTCAAGAGCGAGCTCGGGCGCGGATGCGACGAGGTCACCTGCCAGGCCAACGTCGACAAGTCGTGGACCCCAGCCGCCAATCAGCCCCCCGTGCACAAGCCCGAGTACGAGCGCCCACGGTTGGGAGCAACCAGCGACTGTGATCGCCCAGCAGCAGCCGCAGCAGCCGAACCGCCAGCAGCAGCAGCAGCAGAGCCCGCAGACGCAGAGTCCACAGGCGGCTCACAGAGGTGGGGACATTCGCCGCACGTCGCCGAGGGCAGCAGCGGCTGCGGGGTGGGGGCTCGGCGCGATGTCGTGAGCCGCGAGCCATCCAGGCTTTTCCTATTGTGATTTTCCAAAGTGCGCTCCGCGCTCGCCCGATGGTCTCGGCCGAGAGACGCGCGGCCACCTAGCTTCAGCCAGTGAGGCGAGTCCATTGATTATCGGCGGCGTCGGTCCCAGCCAGGACGAACACTCCCCTTCCCTACCTCCGCCCACCACGCCCCCCGCCCTTAAAGAGACGGGGCGGAGGCGGGGCGAGCGGAGGAAGAGGAGGAGGAGGAGGAGGAGGAGGAGGAGGAGGAGGAGGAATAGGAGGAGGAAGAGGAGGAGGAAGAGGAGGGGGAAGAGGAGGAGGAGGAGGAGGAGGAGGAGGAAGAGGAGGAGGAGGAGGAGGAGGAGGAGGAGGAGGAGGAGGAGGAGGCCGCGCGCGGCGCCCCCGCGCCCCGCAGGGGAATCCTGCCGCGCCGCCGACGCCGGGCGGCGACGCCGCCTGGCGGGCGTTCGGCACCACCCGGTTCGACGACAAGGACCGTCGGCGTCGTCGTCTGCGGCGGCGGCGGCGTCGTCGGCGTTGGCGGCGTCGGCGGCATCGGCGGCGTCGGCGGCGGCCTCGGCGTCGGCGTCGGCGTCAGCGCCGTCGGCGGCGGCGGCGTCGGCGGCGTCGGCTACCGCGGCAGCTCGGCCGCTCTGTCGTTGCCCCCCCGAGCGCAAGGCAGCGAAACAAACATCCCGGCCCCCATACAGATGGACCGAGGTATAATATCGAGGCCGGTTCTGGGAGGGTGCTCTGATGTTGCTCGTGCTTGCTGAATGTTCTTGTGTACCCTGTGGGAGGTCGCCCTCGAATGCCACTAATTTTGTCGGGCGGGGGGCCTCATTTCCTTGCAGGATGTTGTTTTGTCTTCGGCCTTCAGCGTCTACGAGACAGCCCAGCCCTGCTCGCCGCATGCCGCGGATGCGCCTGCTTAACGGCGTCGCCTGTCCAGGTGCTTACGTATTGTATGGATGTTTTTTTTCGGGTCTCTACGCGGATTGGCGTTTGCGAGCGGGACGGCGCGATCGGCCGAGACCGTACCTGGGAACCTTTACCAGGAGCAGGAGGAGGACGACGAGCAGGGGGAAGAGGAGGAGGAGGAGGAGGACGAGGAGGAGGAGGAGGAGTCTGGCAGGCCTTGGACCCCTCTGGCAAGCAACAGGGAACGGTGGATGTGGTGGCGTCCAGACCATCTCGGCGCCGTGCCAGGTTGTAGGCGAGACGCCTCTTGGATGCCTGTGGAAATCTCCTAAAAGTTCTCTCGATGTTTGGTGTTCTTCCCGCTCGGTGTCGTCGTCGTCGTCGTCGTCGTCGTCGTCGTCGTCGTCGTCGTCGTCGTCGTCGTCCGCGTCGTCGTCGTCCGCGTCGGCGTCGCCGTCGTCGCCGTCTGCGGCGGCATCGGTGGCGTCGGCTGCCGCGGCGGCGTCGGCCGCTCGGCCCCCCCGCGCGCTGTGCGGCGCCGCCCCCCGCTGCCCCCCCGCGGCGTCGGCGCTGCGACGACGGCGACGACGACGACGACGACGACGACTGCGACGGCGGCGACGACGACGAAGACGGCGTCGACGACGCCGACGACGGCGACGACGGCGGCGGCGACGACGGCGACGACGACGAGGGGGTGCTCGTCGCGGCCAGCCCCCCTCCCCACCCGAGGGGGGGCGGAGCACGACGAGGGCGGGTGCGCCGGCCGTCGCGTCTCGGGCGAGAGGGCGGGCGTCGTCGGCCGCGTCCGCGTCCGAGGGCGGGGTCGTCGTCGTCGTCGACGTCGTCGTCGTCGTCCTTGGCGGCCTCGGCGGCGGCGGCCATCGGCCGTCGGCGTCGTCGTCCGCGTCCGTGTCCGAGGGCGTGAGGAGCGGTCGTCGGGAGCGGATGTCTGAAGCGGTCGTCGGGAACGCGGCGACGACGTCGAAGACCAAGACGACGACGACCACCACCACCGCCACCACCGCCACCACCACCACGGCGATGGCGACGACAACCACGGCGACGACGGCGGCGACAGCTGCGGCAGCGACGGGCGGTGTGCGGCGGCGGCGGGCGGCGTGTGGCGGCGGCATCTGGCGTCGGGCGGCGTGCGGGCGGCAGCGGCGGGCAGTCGGCGGTCGTGCGGATGCGCCGCGCCGCGCACTAGCTTCTTCCGTCGTCCTTTGATGACGTTGTAAAGGCGAACTTCAGGTGCTGTGCCAGTGGCGCTCTCCTTTCTCCTCCTCTTCCTCCTCCTCCTCCTCCTTCTCGTCCTCCTTCTCATCCTGCGCCTCCTCCTTCTCGTCCTCCTTCTCATCCTGCGCCTTCGTATCCTCCTCGCCCTCCCCTTCGGGAGCACGACCGATCGCAACCACTTCGGACCGATCGTCAACCACTTCGGACCGATCGCAACCAGATGCGATCGGTCCAAAGTGATTGCGATATGTTTGGATTGTGTCGATAAGGTTTTGATTTAGGATGAGATCATAAGAGCGCTTCTGGGTGCAATGAGCTCCCTTAAGCCGCCCAGTGGGAATCTGAACAAGTGGTTGCGATCGGTCCGATCACAGACGGCCGATCATGATCTCAGCTAAACGCATGTACTTGAGCTCGAACGTGGCCATGATCCGTATACGATTTCCTATGTGATTCGCATACGATTGAAACCGAAATTGAGCGAAAACGCCCGGCGTCAAACACATTGCATCTCAGGAGGGGGAGGAGGAAGCGGAGGAGGAGGAGGAGGAGGAGAAGGAGGAAGGAGGAGGATGAGGAGGAGGAGGAGGAGGAGGAGGAGGAGGAGGAGGGAGGGAGGGAGGGAAGGAGGGAGGAGGAAAGGAGAAGGAGGAGGGGGAGGAGGAGGAGGGAGGGAGGAGGGGGAGGGGGGGAGGAGGATGAGGAGGAGGGAGGAGGAGGGGTAGGAAAAGGAAGAGGACAGGATGGCAAGGCGGGTAGACGCGGCGGCCCAGACCCGCGACCTCCAGAGGTCTGGACGAATTCCCACACGGTAGGTTCGTGCGGCGTCGGCACTCGCAAGGCTTTTGGCACCGCGTCAATCGTTCAACCTTGAATCGATTGCGGCCCCGATCGTTCAAGGTTTAATTTCGTCGGGTACAGTGGCCCCACCGTGTTCCTCGGTGCTTCCGCGTCGCAGAATGCAGCCTTGAACGCCTTCGTCAACGTTGCCGGCGTGCCAACGCCGCATGAACCTACAGTAGACCAGCATTGCATACTGAGTCACTTTTAGACAACCCCTGGGCCCGGCGATGGCCCCGGGAGCCCGAAACCACAACAGATGTTGTCACGACGCCAGGCGGTCTGGGCCTGTGGTGGTTGTGGGAACGATGGCTGGGGGACGTGTGCGCCCTGCGCGGCCTGCGAGACCTTTGGCACCCGTGTGACACGCAGGACCTGTGGGACCTGTGGGGCTTGCGGGGCAGGCGGGAACGGCGGGATCCTTGGGACTTGTGCGACCTGTGGGAATTGTGGACTTGTGCGACCTGTGGGACGTACGGGGCCTTTGAAAGCACTGGGGCCCTTCGTTACCACGATTAGAACCCTCTAGCGCAATGCAACCAGGAACAAAAACATCTCAGGATGAAAAGACCTCGGAGGGAGGGTTGGACGAGGAGCCGTTGGACGAATGATAAGAGCACATGCGGAGCCTCTTCGCGGGGCTCTCCGTCGATTGGGAGGCCCTCAGAACTCATCATCACGGCCCCTTCCTCATCATCATCCTCATCCTCCTCCTTTCTCCCTCCTCCTCTGCCTCGCCCTCCTCCCCCTCACCATCCTTCCTCCTTCCTCCGCCCTCCTTGTCGTCCTCCCTCCTGCTCCCTCCCCCGCCACTCTCCCTCCTCCCTCCCCTCTCCTCATCCTCCCTCCTCCCTCCCCTCTCCTACTCACAATCAACAGTATCATCGTTAACATCGTCGCCACCACGTCATCACTGCCACATGGCCACAACCATCATCATCAGCATCTTCGCCTTCATCTTCGTCTTCAGCCCTCCTCCGGGATGCCAGAAGTAGCGCTAGAGGCAGCAGCGCACGCCCACTAAAGGCAGCGGCGCTGAAAAGGCTTCAGAGAAGCTTCTGAAAGGCTTCAGAGAAGCCCCAGAGAAGCCCCTGATAAGGCTTCAGAGAAGCTTCTGAAAAGGCATCAGCGAAGCCTCTGAAAGGCTTCAGAGAAGCCTCCATGTTTCCACCGACGGGGGATGCTGTGGGGCTCTGCTCGACCATATATGGAGGGTGGTACCAGCATCTCGACCAGGTGTGCCCTCCGTGGCCCATGCATCTTGTTTTGGGGAGCCAGCTCTGACTGCTGGCCTCCCGCTCTTTTCCTCGCTTGCTTCATGCCGCCCGGAGTCCTTCGGGCGCTCAGTTCGAGCCCTTTGGTTGCACGTCGAGGCCCCCTTCGAGGCGTTCGCGACAGCATTTGCTTGTGCCGATCCTTGTGCGTACGATGCTCCAATTCATGTTGGCCTTGACCACCAGAAGCAACTTCCAGCACCAGGAGAGTACCGAAGCCGGAGGGTTTCCACGTGTCGGGCCCTGGGAGGCGAGACTCGTTCGACGCTGTTTCGATACTTTTTCTGGGCGCTCGAAATCCTTTCTGGGATGTGGTCCTTCAGAAGGGTAGGAGCAACATACAGTCGGGGCGCTGAAGAAGGAACCCTTCTCGTTGGGGAGGGGCTCCGTGTTCCTTCATTGTTTCACAGTTTGCCCTAGGTTTTCTTCAGATTTTCGATGGGAAATCAAAGTTTAACTTATGGATAAAAGGGGCCTCGTTCCTTATTTAGGGTTCCTTAGGTCAACGCCCCGACTGTAGGATGTGGGCCCCCGGGGGCCGTGGCCGGGCCCACGGGGCCACACGGTGGAGGCCCGTGCCAGAAAAGAGCACCCTGCTCGCCTCCGGGGTGCCCCCTCCTCCTCCTCCTCCACCTCCTCCTCCATCTCCTCCTCCTCCTCCTCCTCCTCCTCCTCCTCCTCGTCCTCCTCCTCCTCCTTCTCCTCCATTTCCTCCTCCATCATCTCCTCCTCCTCCTCCTCCTCCTCCTCCTCCTCCATCTCCTCCTCCCCTCCTCCTCCTCCTGCGGCGGGCGTGACGTTCCCACACCGAAAGTCCACCCTGCTCGCCTCCGGGCTGCCCCGGGCTCTGCTTGGGCTTCGGTGGGGTTTTGCTGCGGCGGGCGTGACGTTCCCACACCGAAAGTCCATCCTGCTCGCCTCCGGGCTGCCCCGGGCTCTGCTTGGGCTTCGGTGGGGTTTTGCTGCGGCGGGCGTGACGTTCCCACACCAAAAGTCCAGGGGCGTCCTTGGGGTCTGGGGGACGGGTTTCTCGTGGAAGGTCTCTTGTGGTCGGGCCCCTGCTGCAATACATGCATCCGGGGCGAAGAACTCCCTCTTGAGAAGAAGTCGGGACCTCCAGGGTGCACGACTTGAACAGATCGGCGGACGCCGAAGATGCAAACAAATGCGTGAACGTTAATTTTCGGAGCTCCGCGCGGATTTCCTGGAGCAGCGTTGGGCCCAGCGCCGATCCAAGACATCCCTCCGGAGTTATAGCAAGTTTGCGACCATGCAGTGGCTTGTTCCTGAAGGATGTCAGGGATCGATCAGGGATCTCCCTTTCAGCATGTTCGCGCTTATGCAGTTGCGTTGAAACGTCAAGGATGTCAAGGATCGTCTTATAGCGTCGCGGTGTGCACTGAAACGAACGTCGTGGCGCCCAGTACGCCATCTGCGGCGGCAAGCCATGGGAGCTTGGAGTCCCCTCACCACTCCGTCTTGAGCGTCGATTAGCGTCTGGAGTCGATGAGTTAGCGCCGATGTAGCGTCGGTTTGAGTCGATTTGCGTCGATTTAGCGTCGAATCGCATAGATTTAGCGTCGATTAGCGTCGATTCGCAAAAGCCGACAAGACGGTGTGGGAGGCTCCCATGAGCTGCCACCGAACGCCATCCAGACCCGCCAGTTCTCAGAGATTCCCGATCATGTTCTCATCAGGACCCATTTTCATCTCCCGCATCTGTCGTGTCTCCGAGGTGTCGGCGCCACTCCGAGGGTCTGGCCGGTGACTGGTGCTCGCCTCCACGGAGGTTGAGCCGCCCGTTAGGAGGTTCACAGGTCGGGGGGGGGATTCCAAGGGGGTGCTAGGGAACGAAGCAAGCGGGAAGCCCACTATATATGCGCTGCGCGTCCATGCGCGGCGCGGCAGCCGGCAGCCCTGATGGGCGAGCCCGGGTGAGCCATTTTTCATCCCGGCTGCCGTTGTGCAGTTTTGGGCAAGGCCGCGCTGGCTGGAAGCGCTGCCCCGCGCCCCCCCGCGCAGGCCTTCGCCTCAGCGTTGCCGCAGGGCGGCGTGCGCAGGCGGGCCCAGCTCGCAGCATTTGGCAGCTGGCGGCTGGGCCCCCAGCCCAGCCCAGCCATGACCTCCTGATGTTCTTGAAGACGCCTGCGCACGGGGCCGACCTGGCAGCGCGCTGGGCCGACGCCGCGGCATTGCCTTCGGCAGGCCCAAACCAAACCGGAATAACACCTAAATTCGAGTTACCAGTCAGACCTAAATCAGACTTGGGTCTCAGGGCCAATCATCCAGAGTCCCAGTCAGACCTTAATCAAAATTGGTGTTGAGGGCCAGATTTGAATCGTAATTCCAGCGCAGACATCAATCAGACCTTCAGAGTCTGCCTCCAAAAGACACACTCGAGGTTCGACCGTCACTGTCCACGAGAAGCCGCAGAAGCTTATTTTGCTTCTTGCTGGTGTGCTCGTTGATCGGCGACTCTTGGACGTCCTCGCCGTGGACGATCCAGGAGGGCTTCTTCGCGAAGCTGAACAGCGTTTTGGTGAGCCGCGCCCTGGCGGCATCCTCCTCTGCATCGTCGCCCACGGCGAGGTCGGGGCCGCGACTGAGCTTTGCGAGGGCGGGCCGCGGCCCATAGGGCGCGAACGAGCCAAAACGAGCCAAAACGAGCCATAGGAGAAAAGGGGGGGAGAGGAGGAGGATAGATAGTATCTATGGGAGGGCGAGGATACGCATTGTGAAGACAGCCTGCCCTCCATCCGCGAAGCTGCCGCGAACTTTGAAGGACGAGCGCGCGCGGCTTTAAGGCGAGAGCAACATTGTGAAAACGCGCCGCCCTCCATGCTTGAAACTGCCGCTAATTTACAAGATGACTATTGGCGTTTCCCGTATCGTTTTCTTTGCCTTCTTTCTCCTCGTCCTCATCCTCGTGCTCGTCATCGTGTTGATCATCATTTTCGCCCTCCTCCTTCATATCATTATCGTCACCAGCACCATCATCATAATCGTCGTCGTCGTCATCATCAGCTTCGTCATCAGTATCAGCAGTTGCAACATCATCATCATGTGCATCCTCGTCCTCAGCATCAACACCATCATCCGCATCCTCCTCGCACTTCCCCCTCTTCCTTTTCCTTATCATCCTACGCCTCTTTTATCGTTTTCCCATCCGTGCGGCGGCCGCGCTTCCGCCAATTCTTCTGCGCGTTCGAAGGCTGTCGCCTCCTCCTCCTCGTCCTCCTCGCCCTCCTCCTCCTCCTCCTCCTCCTCCTCCTCCTCCTCCTCCTCCTCCTCCTCCTCCTCCTGTGCGCGTGGATATGTTTTTTATCCCCTTCCGCTTCCTTCGCCCATGCCCCCCTTCTCTTGTTTCCTCCCGGTCCGGCCTCTTTATCTTTCTCATGGGTTCACCTCTCTTTCGGTTTTTTCGCCCGCATTCCCCGTCCTCGCCATCGTCGTCGTCGTGATCATCGTAAGCTCTTCCTCCTTCTCCTTCTCCTCCCCTCCTCCTCCTTCCCCTGCTCCGAGGTCCTTTTCTCCTCCTCGCCGTCGCCGTCTCCCTCCCCCTCCTCCTCCTCCTCCTCCTCCACCTCCTCCTCCACCTCCTCCTCCTCGTCCTCTTCTCCTCGTCTTTCTCCTCGTCTTTCTCCTCTTTCTCCTCCTCCTCCTCCTCCTCCTCCTCCTCCTCCTCCTCCTCCTCCTCCTCCTCCTCCTCCTCCTCCTCCTCCTACTGTCGGGGGGGAGGGTCTAGATCGGGCGTCGGGGGGCTCGAGCCCCCCGCGGGCTCCTCGGCCGCGCGCTGCGCCTTGGCCAGCATCTCCGCACTGTTCTCCGCCAGCATCTGGGGAGGAGCATGGAACTCCCCCCTTTTCGAAAGTTTCCCGCAGCCTCCCCGGAATTTTCGCGCGGCGCGCCTGCCTCCCTGGATGGGGAAGGATTTCGCGGGAAGGTTGCGGGAGCACTTCGGGGGGGTCGCGGGAAGATGTCGGGAACATGTCGGGAAGTCTGCGGGAAGGTCGCTGTGGATCCCCCACCTGTGACCATTGTTTTTTTTTCAATTGAAGTGTTTCCCCCCGTGCTCACACCCTGTTCTTTTATCAGGGAAAGCTGCGAGACTCAAACTGGGCCCCTGGCCCCCGGTTTACAACAACAGCGGCCGCCTGATAGTTCCTCTCTATTGATTCCTAAATCGCGCTCTCGCGCGGGACGTCCTCACAGTTCATGTACACATCGCGCTTTCGCGTGGGCTTTCCTCTCAATCTATTCAGACGATGCGCCCTCGGCGCTCAGGAATCACGCTCTCGCTCTGGATTTTCTTACAATTTACTTGGGAATCGCGCTATCGTTCGAGACGTCCTCGCGATTCATGCAGGGCCCACGCTTCAGCAACCCGCCTGCTCGACCTCGTCGCCTGGGCCCGCCTTCCCGACCTGCCCGCTATGGGTCTGCCCACCCGATCTGCCCATCTGGTTCTACCACTTGTTTTCTGATCCTTGCCCCCTTTTTGCTATTTTCTCTCGTGCTCCAGTCTTTCCCTCCCCCTTCCACCCGTCCTCTCTTCCCTTGCCTTAGGGGCTGCACTACGTGCGCGTGGCATGTAAGGAAGATTTCCCCCAAGGGGGTACGATCGAAGACGACGAGGGCGGGTACCGAGGGCTTGGGGTATACGTGTTGATTGGCACGTGAGCAAATACGAGCGAACAGTCTCAAAGTGATTGTTGTTGTTGCTGCTGTTTTTGCTGAACTCCCACTACTACATAATAATTTGTGTTGGTCCACCTCCTCTGGTGACCACTGTGTTTTTTCAATTGAAGTGCTTCCCCTGGGGTTCGCACCCTGTTCTTTTATCAGGGAAAGTCACGGGGCTCAAACTGTGCCCCTGGCCCCAGGTTTACAACAACAGCGGCTGCCGCCTGATATTTCCTCAAAATGTATTACCACATCGCGCTCTTGCGCGGGACGTCCTCACAATGCATGTACGCATCGCGCTCTCGCGTGGGACTCCTTCGCAATTTGTTCAGACGATGCGCCTTCGGCGCTCAGGAATCACGCTCTCGCTCTGGCTTCTCTTACGATTTACTTGGGAATCGCGCTATCGCTCGGGATTCATGCAGGGCCCACGCTTCAGCAACCCGCCTGCTCGACCTCGTCGCCTGGGCCCGCCTTCCCGACCTGCCCGCTATGGGTCTGCCCACCCGATCTGCCCATCTGGTTCTACCACTTGTTTTCTGATCCTTGCCCCCTTCCTGTTAATTTCTTTCGTGCTCCATTCTTCTCCCTCCCCCTTCCACCCGTCCTATCTTCCCCCAAGGGGGTACGATCGAAGACGACGAGGGCGGGTACCGAGGGCTTGGCATATACGTATTGATTGGCCCGCGAGCAGATAGGAGCGAACAGTCTTAAAATGATTGTTGTTTCTGAAAACGAGGCTCCGGCGCGAGCGTTGGCTTGAGTGTAAAAGTGTGCCCTTGGAGGCCAGGCAGCACCGACAACAGCTTCCGCTCGATACTTCCTCACAATTCACCCCGAGACACCCTGGCCAGAGAGGCCCCCGAACTCAGGAATGGCGCTCTTGAGACTTCTTCAATCAAGTTGGCGGAGGCTCAGCCACGACGACAGGGGCTCCTGCTCGATACTTCCTCACGATTTACTCCGAGAGCCCCTGGCGAGGAAGGCCCCTGAACTCGGGAACGGCGCTCTCGCTCGAGACTGTCTCGCGATTCAGTCACATTGGTGGAGGCCCAACTACGACGACAAGGGCTCTTGTTCGATACTTCCTCAACCCACACCAGAAATCAATGGACGTCCTGGGGTCTCAGAGTCGAGCTTCGTGTGCCAGGCCTTTTGTGGTCGAGCTCTTACTGCAATGCTTCCGACGACGACCTCTCGGCAGCTGCCTCCCAACACGTTGGAGTTCGCCCCGCTTCCCGCCCTCTCCTCCCGCGCGCCGCACGCCGCCCCCCCCCCCCCCCCCGTGACCGCCCCCCGAGGCAGAGCCCGTCGGCGACGCCAAGAAGTTCAGGATAAAGGCCCCCCGCTGCCCCCCGGGAGGAGGAGGAGGAGGAGGAGGAGGAGGAGGGGTCCCTTTGGGAGCCCCTCGCCGCCACGGCCAGAGGGTCGCCTCGAGGTGTTGGCCGGAACGCGCCCCAGGAGAGGCCTGGGGAGCAGCGGTCTCGGTGTACGGGCGTTCTCCGAGCTTAGTTATGACTGTGTGGGTCTCACTTTCAGGAAGCACGCCTGCCCGGGAGGCGGCAACAATGGGATGCCTGCCCGGGAGGCGGCATCCCATTGTTGCATTTTGCTCCCGCCGCGTCGCATCCCGGGGGGGGGGGTGAGGCCACGTTTTCTCGGTTCTCAGGCGATCGCGAACATGGGTCAAGGGGGCGTGGATTGGCGACTGGTCCCTACTCCATGGGAAATCGCAGATTTCCGCCGCCGAACGAAGCGGAACCCGCCGCGTTTTGGGGAGGGCACCTCCCCCGATCCATGGACTTGGCGACCGCGCGCCAAATCCACGGATCGCTCATCCGTGTTTGCGCGCCCCCGAGCTTCTCGGTCGGCGGTGTTTCAGCGTCAGGGTGCCGTCCAGCAGCTGCGCCTCGCCGAGAGCATTCCGGGGGTGCCTGGATTGTCTCGAACGGCCGCCAGAGAGCCGAGCTGTGGCCCGGAGCCCAGTCGGCATGCACGTCGGTCGTTGAAAGCAGGTGCTTGTGGATCCCCAGGTCCCATTCCGCTTTAGGCCCCCTCCTATTTCAAGAACCGGCATGGTTTTGATGTGCGTTCGCATTCTCTGGGAGGGCCGGGAGCCAATCTACGTTCTCCGCCTTCCTGCTTCCTGTTTTCTGCTTCGTCCGACCGACGTGTACATCCTGAGATCCGAGGTTCCGAAACATCGGAGCGGCTGGTCTGCGGCCGTTTTCGGCCTCCGCATTTCGGCACACCCCTCAAAAGGTTTCGGCTCCCCAGGTAGCTCCACATACGACCCGAGCGGGTGCGTCCGCATGGCGGCGCCGTGCCCATGTCGCACACCTGCCCCTCCCCCCGGGAGCCCCACTGAGGGCTCCACTGGGCGCGTCCGCATGGCGGCGCCACACCCTAAGCGAGCTCGACCTACAGTCCTCAGGCGAGGTGCCCCCACGCCGCCTTCGCGCCCATTCTCGGCGCATCCCCCACACGTTTTGTGCCCTACCAGGGGGCTCCACCTATTGCCCACTGGGGGTGCTCGCAGGGCGCCGCCGCGCTCATGTCGGCGCCAGGCGGAGGGTGCCCAGTAGGGAGCTATACCTGTGTTCCTATGGCATGAAACTGCGAGGGCGTGGCACGCACGTCACATGGGCGATGCACGATATGGGGGTAGGGGGCTCGCGTTGTGTGTGCGTATGGCCGGCCTGACCTCCTCTGGCGAGGCGTTTCTGGATGCAGAAGGCCTCTCAACGCATTCTCGAGTGTCGAGCGGTCCTGCGCATTGCCGCCTCATGATAAGAGAGGGTTGGGTTCTTCGCCACGCTAATGTTTTACGATGCGAGGATGTCTGGGGGTGACCCGACGGCGGGCTCGATCATCGGCATCACCCAAACATACTTCTACTATGAGTGCGTCGGCACTTCCCCCCCAGGGGCGACGCGCGCACTCAGGAACCTTGCACATAGTACATCGTAGTACATGCTCGATAGCGGGCGCCTGCTGTCCATGCCGCTTTGGTATGGGCAAGTTCCAAGATGCTTGTACGTTCGACTCCAAGGGGCGCGCACAGTACTACACCGCCTTGGACATGCATCGAATAAAAAAACGCCATAACCAGAAACTTTTGGCGCTCCGCACGGAATTCTTGGATCTGCGCTGGGCCCCCCCTCTCAGCGGCGCCTCCGGCGCCCCTCCTTGCGCGCTCCGCGCGCCAGGTAGGGGGGTCTGGCTCAGATCCAGGAAATCCGCGCGGAGCGCCAAAAGTTTGTTCAGGAGGGAAAAGACACGCAGACACAATGAATCGTCGATTCCCAAGAAAATATGGGAAAACATGGGGACATCCTGTCATTTGTGTGCATTTATTTGTGGTTCCCAGGGCCCCTTCATTTATGTTTGTGCAGTTTTTCTTTGCCTGGTATCACAGCTTCTGCAGGTCGTGTCAACGAGTCTTCCCCGGGGGACCTCCTGGGGGCCGCCGCTCGTCCCGGGCCCGCCCCCGACGGCCACGGGGAGCCCGAGCGTTGCCCCTGGAGACCAGGCACGACGAAGGACCGCAGGGGCACAGCTGCCCCCCCGAGGCCAAGCACTGCTACGAATGTGGAGGACGATCAGTGGACAGGAAGCATGCCGCCAAATACTTGCCAGAGGTCTAACAGATGTTTCAAGCATGTTTTAAGCATGCAAAAACCATGTTTGGAAAAATTAGAACATGTTTCACACATGTTAATCCACACCTTTAATTCAGTGATCGGATTGTTGGAGTGTCCATTGTCGTGGCATCCACAATGCTACGAGAGACCCACGGCGACGGCAGCAGAGTGATCGTTCTCCTGTTCACTGCTCTGCCGATCGGCGCGGGCCCTCGGACCCCACCCCCCCCGGGCCGGACGAAAGGGGGGGATTGGGAAAGGGGGGGTTACGAAATTTGCTGCATGCAGGAAAGGGGGGGATTGGGAAAGGGGGGGATTGGGAAAGGGGGGGGATTGGGAAAGGGGGGGATTGGGAAAGGGGGGGACTGGGATTGGTTTCGGCCTCACCGAGGGGCCCATTCCTCGATACACAGTCTCCTCCGGCGCTGGGAGGCGCCGGGAACATCAGTTGCATGAGCTGATTCTCAAGCCCCCCCCTTTGATATCCCCCCCTTTCGCCCGACCCGACCCTCCCTTCCCTTCCCCCCCCGTGAGGCAGATCTTGGCTGCTTCTGGCGCCGGTTTCCAGCAGGTGGACGGTTCCCCATCGCATCCCCAATGGGAGCACTGTCACAGACAGCCGCCCTGAGCAGAGAGGTCCAGAGCCAGACCTCCCCACTCCTCCTCCTCCTCCTCCTCCTGATCCTCCTCCTCCTCCTCCTCCTCGAGCCTCCTCCTCCTCCCGAGACCGCCGAACAGGACGTTCCCAAAGCATCACCGCGGCTGCAGCCGCCCGTCTCCTCCCGGGCAGGCCAGCGCACGTCTCCCCGCGTGGGCGCCGCCCTCGGCGGGCCTCCGCGGGCGGTGCCCCGCAGGCGTCGTGGGAGCGGGACGTCCGGGTTCCCGGGTCGCGGCCGCTCGACAACTTCATGGGCGAGGGGGTGCGGCCCACCGCTCCTTCGCGGGTCTCTCTCTCTCTCTCTCGTCTTCCCTCCCTCTCGCTCTCCCTCTCCCTCACTCTCCTTTTTTTTTTTTCTCTCTCTCTCTCTCTCTCTTGTGTGCATATACCTCTCTCTTCCTCCTGCCTTTTTGCCCCATGCCCCCGCTGCCGCTCTCTATCCCGCGCCTCTCGTGACTCCTGCGGCCCCCCCCCTCTCTCTCTATCCCTGAGTGTGTGCGTGTGTGTGTGCTCCATCCCCCCTCTCCAATTCTCTCTCTCTCTCTCTCTCTTTCCCCACTTCATTCCGTCGCTCCTGCGGCCCTCTCCATCTCCCTTCTCTCTTTCTCTCACTATCATTATCTCTCTCTCTCACTCTATCTCTCATTCCCTTTTTCCCTCTGTACATCACTACAACACGTACAAACCAACCGTGACGGGTTACGTCCAGATGTGACCCGTTGCGGCTGACTTTTGCGACCCCATCAACACTGTCGCTCCGTTCTTCGCACGCACATTTTGGTATTTTTGCTCGTCCCCTTGTTAGTTTCCACGTGTCTTGCTGTATTCGCCGCGGCATATGGTTGGGTCTTTCGCCAAGCTACTTGTTCTGTTATGTGTTTTGGTCCCAACCATCTTGTGTTGATCTCGGTCCTCGTTTTGAATCAGCGGCGCTGGGCAGTTTCCCTCCATCCCGTCCCCCCTCGCTCTTCTCATCCCACCCCTTGCATCTGCCTTTCGCGTGTCTCTGTTTCGACGCACCCCTCACACGATTCGTGGCCTCACAGGGAACTCCACGGAATACCCCAGTGGCTGCGTTCGCATGCCGTGTCCGCCTTTCATTGGCATTTTTGATGCGTTTCGTGGCCCCACGAGATCGTCTTGATGCCCCAGTGGCTGCGTTCGCATGCCGCCGCCACCCCAATTTGTTGCACCCCTCTCACGGTTCGTTGCCCCATACGGAGTTCAACGTAAGGCGCCAATGGCTGCGTTCGCATGCCACGCCGCTCCATTTTGGCGCGCCCATCACACGTTTCGTGTCCACATGGGGAGCTCAGCCGAAGGCCCCATTGGCTGCGTTCGCATGCCGCCGCCACCCCAGATTGGCGCACCCCTCACACGCGTCGTGCCCCCATAGGGAGCTCAACTTGAGGCCCCAGTGGTTGTGTTCGCATGACGCCCACACCCGACTTTGGCGCAACACATGCGAGCTTTGTGTCATAATTTTACAGCTGGTTTTTCTCAAACGGTTTCGCGGGTGGCACGTGTCACCCGCTGCTTTTTTGAGGCTGATTGACACCATGTTGGCCCCCAGAATCGTAATTTTACTCTTGTTTTTTCTCACGCGGTTTCGGGGGTGACACGTGTCACCCGCTGATTTCCTGAGGTTGAGTGACACCATGTTGGCCCTGGAATCTTTTCTCATGCGTTTTCGGGGGAGACGCGCGTCAGCCGCTGCTTGTCTGAGGCTGACTGACCCAATGTTGGCTTCCAGAATCATAACTTTACAATTGGTTCTGACACGGTTTTGGGGGTGACACGTGTCACCCGTTGTTTTTCTGAAGCTGATTGACACCATGTTGGCCCCCAGAATCGTTATTTTATAGTTGGTTGTTCTACACGGTTTCGGGGGTGGCACGTGTCACCCGCTGCTTTTCTGAGGCTGATTGACACCATGTTCCCCCCAAGACGCATATTTTTGCCAATTGGTTGTTCACACGGTTTCGATGGTGAGACGTGTCATACGTTGCTTTTCTGAGCTTGATGGACACCATGTTGCCCCCCCAATACTTGTAATTTTAGAATTGTTTTTTTCTCACACGGTTTCGCGGGTGACACGTGCCACCCGCTGATTTTCTGAAGCTGAGTGACACCATGTTGGCCTTCAGAATCATAAAATCTCACAATTGTGTTTTCTCAGGCGGTTTCGGGGGTGACTCGTGTCAACCGCTGCTACTTCTGAGACTGACTGACCCAATGTTGGCTCCCAGAATCATAACTTTACAATTGGTTTTTCTGACACGGTTTCGGGGGTGGCACGTGTCACCCGCTGCTACGTCTGAGGCTGATTGACACCATGTTGTTGGCCCCCGGAATCGTAATTTTTCATTTGTTTTGTCTCACATGGTTTCGGGGGTGGCACGTGTCACCCGCTGCTTTTCTGAGGCTGGTTGGCACCATGCTTCCCACCAGACGCATAATTGTACCACTTGGTTTTTCACAGACGGTTTCGATGGTGACACGTGTCACCCCGCTGCTTTTTCTGAGGCTGATTGACGCCATGTTGCCCCCCATAATCTCAATTTTACAATTGGTTTTTCTCACACGGTTTCGGGGCTGACACGTGTCACCCGCTGCTTTTATGAGGCTGATTGAAACCATGTTGCTGGCCCCCAGAATCGTAATTTTACATTTGTTTTTTCTCACACGGTTTCGGGGGCGACACGTGTCACATGGCGTCGAGAGCGCCCCGCTCGCGCGGCTCGCGCGGGGCGCTCTCGACGCCACGCCAGGTTTTCTTTTTGGTTTGGGGCGATGCCTTTGTATTTCCACTAGCGGCCTGGGTCGACCGCTTCAGGCGCCTCCATGAAAACGTTGTTTTTCGTTTGCGCGGCAGCCTTTGTGTTTTCTAGTCCGCGGCTCGGGCGCGGTGGCCGAGGCCGCGGCACGATCTTTGTTCTATTTTGCGGGGCGCCCTGCTGTGTTTTTTTTGTTTGGGCGAGGGCCGCCCCCTGTTAGCCACGCGGGCCCTGGGTTTTTTTTCTTGCTTTTGGGCAGTCCTTTGTGTTTTTGGCCATCGGCCCGAGCGGTTCCCCGCAGGATTGGTTCGACGCCTATGTGTTTTCCATGTGTTGGGCCAGCCCCATCCGCCTTCGTTGCGGTTCGCCTATTTCTGCGCGGAGATCGCCATCCGGCCGGTTGGGGGCTCTTTGGGGGGCTACAAAAAAGTCTCTATGTTTTTACGCTCGGGGCGCGGGCTCCCTTTGTTTTTTATGTTTGCAGGTCCGCGCGAGCGCGATTTCCTCTACTCGAACCACTCTGTCCGTTGTGTTTCCAGCCCTTAGTGTTACCAGCTTCCGCGTACGCATGGCACGCACGCACGCACGCACGCACGCACGCACACACACAGACACACACAGACACACACAGACACACACAGACACACACAGACACACACACAGACACACACACAGACACACACACAGGCACACACAGACATACACACGCACGCACACGCACACGCACACGCACACGCACACGCACACGCACACGCACACGCACACGCACACGCACGCGCACGCGCACGCACGCGCACGCGCACACGCACACGCACACGCACACGCACACGCACACGCACCCTCTTGGCCCTCGTTTGGTTCCCTCCTGGCTCCGTCGTGGCTCTATTTCGGATTCCTCTTGACTGCTTTGGGGCTGTGTCTTGGCTCGTTCGGGTGGCATCTCATCTCCCCGTTGATTACCCTCGGGCCCCGTGTCGATGGAGTCTTTGTGCGGCAGTTTTCAAATGTATTTCTCTTGCGGCGGATTCCAGATGTACTGCTTTTGGTGGCGAACTAGAAAGGGATTCCTTTTGCCGCGGATTGCGAATGCATTCCGTCTGCGGCGAATTACACATGGATTCCTTCTGCGGCAGGCCCACCCAGCAGTGGCCGAGCGCTTGAAAAACGAGACAACCTTGACATCCTCGCATGTGTCGGAGGTTGGGGGGTGAGATCGCAGTGAAACGGATACCCCCCACCGGGAAATCGGTTTCGGTGTCGCGTTCGTGTCGTGCGCGCGGGCGAGGCGAAGTTGCGCGTGATCCTCCTGTTGCTAGGCCGAAGTAGGAGCGAAAGTCCGTTTCCCGTCTGCCGGTGGCCGGGACGCGTCCCAGTTGGGCGGGGCGGTGTCCCGGGTGTCCCGGGTGTCAGTAGGAGCGAAAGTCCGTTTACCGTCCGCCGGTGGCCGGGAGGTGTCCCAGTTGGGCCGGGCGGTGTCCCGGGTGCCCCGGGTGTCCCGGGCGTCCCGGCGCTAACGCATATTCCGAATTGCATAATTCATTTTGTCGGTGCTCGCGGCGGGCTTTCTTCTCCAATCCAGCTTGTCTTATCCAATCCATTTTGTCCAATCCAAACCATATTATCTGATCCAAGCCATAATGTACCATCTTATTACTATACACCCAATCCAATCCACCCGACCCAATCCATCAATTCATTTGTTTCTGCGCCTGCGGCGGGCCAATCCAATCCATTAATTCTCCTTTCTAAAAAGAGAATAGACTCTACCCCCCCCCGGACTTATCGGTTCCCCCTGGGAGAGTATGATTTCATACATATTCTGCACACTCGTCCATCCTAAGTACGAAATCGTACCATCCCATCTAGGCCGGTTTCCCCCCCTGAGGTTCCCGGGTAAAAAAAAACACTATGCGGTGACATTTTTTGTTCTAGCATAACACTGTTTCGCGAATCCTTTGCAACAAATGAGACGAAGTGCACACGCGCGCGTCGTCGCGCGCGCATGCCGGAATCCTTCGAAAACCTTTTGGTGGTGCAGGAAGGATTTCGCAATCGAGTTCCCAAAGAACATACAACAAACTTCCGCGTAAGCTCTTGCGAAATCTTAAGAAAACCATGGTTTTTTTCAAGATTTTTACAAATTGCTACCAAACGGGCTTCGCGCGCGCTCATGTCGAAATCTGTCGAACGCCCTTGCGCGTGTGCCGTCGCGAGAATCCCCTGCAAAAAATGGGACGAAGTGCAGACGCTCGCATCGTCGCGCGCGTAACCTCTAAAGGTCTTTTGTTTTGGTACCCCCCCCCTCTGTTTTATTCGGCGGTGAATAAACTGGTCGCTCCCCCCCCTCCCTCCCCCCCTCCTCCTCCTCCTCCTCCTCCTCCTCCCCCTCCTCTTCCCCTCCTCAGAGGCAGTGAGCAGGGAGAGCAGGGTGCAGGGTAAGTGAGCAGCGACTACTACTACTACTTCTACTACTACTACTACTACT